GGGAATGTCGTAGAGATGTTTGTGTCTGGTGTTATGCCTGTGGGTTCTGTCACAACTATAAGAAAGCGTTTTAGGTCAAGGTTGATATTGGAGTTTAAGTTCCTGTAGATGTAGATTGCACAGTAGTAAGTGTGGATGTACTGAAAGGGAGTAAGTTTAGATCTATGAAGAGTGGGGGGGTGTGTTCCCAGGGATGGGATTTAGTGATTATTCTTACTGCAGCTTTTTGTTGGGTTATTATTGGCTTTAGGTGTGTTGCTGCAGTTGACCCCAAGCACAAATAGCATAGGTGAGGTATGGATATATAAGTGAATGGTATAGTGTGATAAGGGCAGTTTGCGGCACGTAGTATCGTATTTTGGAGAGGATCCAACTGTTTTGGATACTTTTTTGGTTATGTGTTGGATATGGGTGCTGAATTCAGGTTGTTGTCAAGGGTATAGGCCTAGGAATTTGCCTTCATTATGTCTGGTAATTAGAGTGTTGTCGATCTTAATGTTGATTTGTGCACCTCCTGCTCTGCTACCAAACATAATATAGTGGGTTTTTGTCAGTGTTAAGCGTAAGTTTATTGGCTGTCATCCAAGTCGATATTTTGATCAGTCCTCATTAACAATGGTGTTGAGGGTGGCAAGATTAGGGTGAGAGATGACATAAGTCGTGTCGTCAGCAAAGAGAATGGGTTTCAGGTGTTGGGATACGTTTGGAAAATCATTGATGTATATGAGGAAGAGCGGGGGACCAAGGACACTTCCCTGCGGAACTCCATTTATCAAGTGGCCGAGGTTGTTGTGCTGTGTCTTTAATGGTGACATACTGATACCTATTAGTAAGGTAAGATTTAAAATAAGCAAGCGCAGGGGCCTCTTATACCATAATGGTCAAGTTTGTGGAGAGGATGTCGTGGTCTACTGTGTCAAAAGCTTTTCTTAGGTCAATAAAAAATTCCTAGTGGATTTCCTTATTTTCCAATGCTGTGTAAAGTAGATCTAGCATTTTTATGATTGCATCATTAGTGCTTTTATTTTTCCTGAATCCAAATTGGCAGGGGTTGAGTATGTTTTGTATTGTTATAAATGAATATAGTCTCCTGTGCACAAGTTTCTCAAAGATTTTGGATAGCAATGGTAAGTTTGATATTGGCCTATAGTTGTTTAAGTCTGTAGGGTCACCACGTTTATGTATTGTTGTAACCCTTCCCAAACTTGAGTAGTTTCGGGAAGGTCCCTAGTTTCTAGTGACTTGTTAAAAAGTAATGAAATAGCATGCGAAAAGGATATGGGCCGCTCGTTTTGTACAGTAATGGTGGGACATTAGACAGATTCCCTGAGTTGTTTTTAAGTGACTTTATAATCTCGGTGACTTCCGAGGCTCAGTTGGTGCAAGATAGAAGGAATTTGGGAAATTCCCATCTGGGTAGTCCCCAGCATGGGCATTGGAAATTTTGAGATTTTATTGGCAAGTTTAGTTTCCTATGGTTGAGAAAAGTCGTTTATCTTGTTAGCTGTGTCAGTGGGATGTAGTGGTGTTTCATTAGGTTTAGTTAGGACAATATTCTTGTAATTTAAAAGTAGCAAGACGTACCTGCAATCTTGCTATTTATTAGACGGGGACAATAGACAACAGCAATCCTACCATCATGTAAAACAATTACAGGTTTTAAATTTTGTTACAAAAAAGTTTTAGTCAGATGGCTGTAGAGGGGTTTTGAGGGGGTTTGGTCATTTAGAGAGGATGGAAAAAGGGGTTGATGACTTGAAGGGCACATAATCTGTAGTGGAAGGAAGGCAGGGTAGAGGTCGTCCTGTTTAAAGGTTAGAAGGTCGGGGTAAAGAAGGTTTGTGAGCGGGGGGCCTGGATTTCCAGCAAGTGTGTGTGTGAGCGTGTTAGTAGGAGTGAATAGAGACGAATAGTTTTTGGGACCTGACGAGCTGTTGGAGGTGAGTAGGGTAATATTTTTGTAAGAGATTCAGGAAACTAGTTAGCTGGACTTGAGTCCTGGAGATCGAAATAAAATGCTTGTTACTTTAAAGGAGGGTTTGGGATATTGGCTGTTTGGAGTTACATCAAAACTGTCGTATCGGGCGCCTCTGAAAAGACAGATTTGTGTGTTTTTCTTAAATGCAAGGTTCACACTGCTGTTGGCTTTGGGAGTCCCAATTTGCTAATTTTATTGAATAAAAAATAATTACTGTATTATATTTTATTCAATGAAATAAAGAATGCTTCTTTTGATTGTCTCCAAATTAAACATTGGTGATGCAGTCTGTAAGATGGGGTGAATAACCCATTAGTCCAGATAGGTGCAAATTTCATATTTTACTGAAATAGTTAAAAACGGGGGAAATGTTTCTATCAGATCAATTACTGGAGAATGTCTTATCTGATAAGTTTCAAACTTTTATCATTGGTGTGTGGTTGGCGCCAGTAAATGTAAGCATCTTGGTGCTGGAGAGCGACTGCCCATAATTTGTTAACGTCGGAGGTAGCAGTAGCGGTGGAGACGTCAATATCAACAGCATCAGTGGCAGCTTGTCACTCAGGTTGTGCACATTACAATTCACCAGTTTTATTAAACAAATTGTTTCCCAGATAATAACTAGTAAATGCCTCTTATGCACATGTACATGGTATACAGGCCTAGCTGACATCAGTGACATACTAGTACAGTATGTACGTATATAGAAAACCCCTTGTTATGCTCAGCATTTCGGCAAATTAGGTCAGTGTCCAGGATGTGACCCACACCAGTCAACTAAACACCCAGGTACCATTTTACTGATGGGAACATGAACAACAGGTGGAAAGAAACACGCCCAATTTTTTCTACTCTGGCTAGGAATCGAACCCAGGCTTTCGCAGTGTGAAGCATGAGCGTTAAACCACCAGGCACCAGAGCCCACCAGGCCAACTCCAAACCCTAAGTATTAATAGGCAGCATTTTTGTATTATTTTTGGGGTGTGTTAGTACCAGTCTGCCAGATTTTTTTGGATAATTTTTTCAAATTGTACTTTTTTAAGAAATAAAAATAATACATTTTTTTCATACAAGATTGTGGAGAATTTTAAATAGAATTTAAATAGAAAAAGTAAACTGGAAAAAAAACAAATTTACAGTAGGCAATGTTCTCACTTCACATGCTGAGTGTCCAAGTTTCAATCCCCAGCCAGGAAGTTGGGAATGTTTCCTTACACCTGCTGTCCCTATTCATCTAGCAGTAAGAAGGTACCTGGGTATTTGTTGATTGGTCCTCAAGACTCACCGAGTTTCTTGGTTATGATGGGTGGCTAACCCTCCGGGTTAAAATCCAAGCATATCTAATTGATTCTTCCAGTAAATGTAATACAGCATATTTATTTACCATGTGGTAATTCGGTATCGTCAAGAGATTATGTTGGAAAAAGTTACATGACTGTTAACAGAGTACAGTGGACCCCCGCATAACGATTACCTCCGAATGTGACCAATTATGTAAGTGTATTTATGGGAAGTGCGTTTGTACGTATGTTTGGGGTCTGAAATGGACTAATCTACTTTACAATATTTCTTATGGGAATAAATTTCGGTCAGTACTGCACCTGAACATAATTCTGGATGAAAAAATATCGTAACCAGGGGGTCCACTGTATATATTAGATTTAAATAGAGAATATTACCACAGAAATAAATAGCCTTAGAAAAAGTAAAGACAAACTGAAGCAGAGGTCATAAGTATTATAGTTGAGTGCCAAGAGCACAGAAGATATGGTCACAACACTCTTTAAATCTCAAAAATGCTTTCCTTCCATAGTACCAGTAGTTAAATATTTTCTTTGGTACATTAGAAATATAGTTCTTAATGCAGTACTTTTCCTTGATTATAAGGGAGATGGTGTGGGCCTTTGGCAGGGCAGCAATCCATGACCCAAAAAGATACCTGCTTGTGGGAATGACTGCCTGGGGTATTGGCTGTGGTGAAGATGGTGTGCCAGGTGTATATGTTAATATTCCTGAACACTATGACTGGATAATAAAAAACATTAATGACCATTACCCAACTACAACTACTTCTACTACAACAGCGGCACCAACAACTGCCCTGGTTTTAGGGGATTGAGGGTAAGTATGGCAGAACAGTGCTTTACAGTATGAAAATATTGGTTATTAAACATTTTTTTAACCAAGTTTTTGGCCCTAGAACCATTTCTTATGCCATTTATCAGAATTATTTACTGAATGACTGTTGTAATTAATGAATTCTGGCCTAATACAGTATTTATGCAATGTCCCTTTTCCTCACTTGGAGAATATTAATGTAATTTTTTTGGTTTGTGGATAAATGACTAGGCTAACAAATGATCTAAAGACACTCGTAACAGTGGAAAAAAGTTTTTTTTTAAAATGTTACACCCACTAGAGTTTTAGCAAATACAAGTACTTGAGAAAGTCCCTTGTGAATGAAATGTAAAAATGATTTTTTTTTTTTTTGCTACAAATATTGTTGTACCACCAAATTTATGGCTAAAATACCATCACCCTTTTTCACATATAAGTATCAAACATAAAATTATTAATATCAATTTTACAGTACTCAGTTCACGAGAAATACTAAACCACGAAATCATACAGCATACTGGAAATTGGAGGTAATCAAGGGTGATACAAAGGGAAGGGAAGGGTGGCTCAAATTCCTTATATCAGCTGCCCTTCACAGCATCAAGGCAACCCTTCTTCATGGATTAAAGAAACTAGAGATGGCAACATTTGTTGAAATTAATAAGAATGCAACCCCTTCAAGGAAGGTTCCTTGATGTGTGATGGGCTCTTGAATCCAAGTAAGTGAACCTGTCCTCCCCTTCCTTCAATCAAACCTGATTGCCTCCCATAGGGGTTTAGTGCTTTCCCTCTATATAATAGTAGGAATACAGAACAAAATCAGGAGAATAAGGAAGTTAAAGTAACTAGAAAGAAAGATACAATATCTGAACCTGTAGTAGTAAATGTGTAGGGGGTCTTACAGGAGCCTGGAGAATAAGAGGCAGCCAGATTTGATCATAGGAAAGGGAGGATAGCTCTGGTTCCCTTGATCAAGAGCCCTTCATTAGAATCAAAGTACCTCCCTTGAAGGAAAAGACTAGTGTAAAATGTACAATTTGCAAAGTAGAAAGATCTACATAGGGTTTAGAGCTTTTATGTCAATACTGTATAACAATAACTGCTATTTTCAAATAGTTATTTTGAGTACTCTATTTGAATTGTTAAAAGTTTCTGAATACAGCCTCTCCTCACTTAACAATGGAGTTCCGTTCCTAAGACCATGTTGGTAAGTGAATTTGTCGCTAAGTAAGGAGCATACTACAATGGTAAAGGGTTTGTGTCAACCATCATTGAGACTGTTTTAATGTCACCTTTGCATCATTTATAGCATTTCTGGGATATTTTTAAATGTTTATACAGTAGTGTATTGTATACTGTAATAAACAGAATAGAGAAAAATCAGCTCTTAATATACATTATTTAGGTATGCATACTGGCCAGAGAGCCTGTCGTAAGTACGAGTCGTTGGTAAACGAGCGCATGACTAAGTGAGGAAAGGCCGTATTTAATATTTTTAAATTTAGAGACTTTACTGTATATCAGGCATTTAATATTTATTCCCTTTCAGGATGATCCAATGGCTTACAATAATACTAAAGACAACAGCTGTAACATTAATCTTCTAAGTTATATCTTAGCATCTTATAAAGAAAGAGGTATGACAAATGTATGAATTTGAGATTATAACTGCATGCCTTCCAATACAATTACTGTACTGATGTGTAAAACTGAAAGTCTTTTATACTTAAAACAGAGGACAGTGACTACTGTAATCATTCATTACTTCAATGAAAAATCTGCTGTAATTCTGGCATGGCCTAATTATGTTTTTTTAAAGTATGAGTACCTAAACAAAAGGCAGGTTTAAAAGGTTTTTTCATAACCATTGTTTGTTGTTCATTATTCAGATCATTGTTTAAAAGTTTAAAGATTTTAAATTGAATTGTACTTTAAGCAGAATGCCCTCAGGATTTAAAAAATACACTGTCCGCAATTCACTGATATCAAAGGTAATACAGTTCAACAAATTCTAAAAATGTGATGGGATTTTTTTTAAAGTCAAACAAGAGAGCTGAAAAATAAAAAAAGTTTTTACCATGTAATTTTTTTTTTAAAACGAGAAACTACATATTTCCCTTTGAGTACTCTAAAAAAAAGAAATAAGAGAATAAAAATTTAAAAAAAAAAAGAAGTAATTTGGGTATAAAATGAAATGAAAAACTTTAAAGATATTTGTACGCTAATTTTTTAAGGACATTTTTATTTTTAAAAATTTTGTAATTCTTTTGGGGGGTCATTAACTTTTTTTAGTTCATATAGTTTGAAAATCACAATATTTTTATTTTAATAAACAAAAAATGTAAAATTTATACAGGATAATAAAGCTTCGGGAAGTTAAGAAATCGGGTTTGTAAAAGGGGGGGGATATCGTAAAAAATTTTTAAAGACCCCTTTTTGATAATATATTAGTCTTGTCATTATTTTCCCTTATTTTTAGTAAAAATAAACTTTTGTTTACAGTACAGTTTTTTTCTTTTTGTTGTTTTTCCCGGGAGTCAGCCATGGATGCTTATGTGAGGGAAAAAAAAACAATGCTTCCCAAAGTAAGGTTTTAATCATGGTCATTTAAATTTTAAATAGCACCTTTTTATGTATCTGTATTTTCCAGTATACATTTTAAATATTCCCATGGAAGTGGAACAGAATTTCTTCCTCCGTAACCAGGTGTTGAAGATTTAGTTTAAAATTTTTATTAGCCCCCCTACCCACCTGTGGGGGGTATCAAAAGTTTACAGAGGACAAATTGGTCCAGGACGGGACCCAAAGTTTTGATAGTTTACAATTAAAAAAGGTAATGAACTAGTTTGGCATAACATGACCAAGTTACAAAGTAATGACTCCAGTAAGCGGGTCCACTCATGAAAAAATTTGAAAAGGAATGAATCAAAAACACTTAACATGAGAATTTACAAATAATGACCCCAGGTAAAGCTGGCACAACATGACAAGTTTCAAAGGTAATGAATGATAAAAACTTTTATACTGTAGGTAAACAAAAGGGCAACATTGGCAACTTTATTCCGAAACGTTTTGCCTACACGGGGCTTTTCATTGAAACAGAAAGTGGGCAGGAACAGTAGAATGTAAGACGAGAAAACAGTCCATCACCTTGAAGTCGTAGAATTGAGGTTCACCCCTGGGCCCGGGAAAGTTCATTTTCCATAGTCAGAACTATCTGACTAGGGACTGTTTCTCCGGGCCGGGGGACTGAAAACCTCAAATTCACGACTTCAAGGGGAGGAGATTACACGCTTCACATTTTTACTGTTCCCGCCTACTTTTTTTATTCGAGAAAACCCTACGGTAGGCAAAAGGGTTTCGAATAAAGTTGCCTAACTGTTGCCTAGGGTTCTTACCACCAACCGTCAGTATTGATCCCATTTTGATGTTCCGTTATGACATGATTACAACATAGACAAATTACAGAGAAATTTTATTTATTTATTTATTTTTTTTATTTTTTAAAAAATTTGAGCACACATACAGAGTACAAAAAAAACAGATAAGAGCAGCATCCCAAAAGCCATTATACTAGCATAATTAGGGCGGTTAAAATTTAACTTAAGATGAACAAAGCAATAGACATCATGAAAAAAAATTTTAATTAAACAGATTACAAAAACACAATGAGTATTACAAAGACAGGTCATATGGTTTATGTTTTTTGTACATTCATAGAATGGAGTATTCTGTTAGGTATGTTTTTAAAAAATAAAAAAGTTAGATTGGGTTTTAGTTTAAACATTTATGTTATAATTGTGAAAACATTTAAGATATAAAATTTTATAAGGTTCAGTTATTAAAAAAATTTTTTTGGGTTTTTGGGTGAAAAGGATCTTTGAGAAGAGACTTGAATTTAAAAACAGGAGTGTTTTTTTTATTTACGGTAATGAGTCCAGTTTTTAGGGCCTTTATGTGCTTTGAGTTTTTGCTAGTGTGAGATGGACAGAGGAACATCAAAGAGTGATCTGTCCTTTGGTTTTATGGTCATGTTTCTTTTGGGGTTGGCAAGGAGAGTTTGAGGGGGGGGTTAATACAGAGTTAAGTGTTCTATGTTTTAAAATAGGTGCAGTAAAAAGTATAAATTTTTTTGTATGGTGGTGGGTTTAGTGTTTTGTTTGGGGGTGTGGCGCTAAGTGAAATTTGTTATATTCTAACTGCAGCCTTTTTTTGGGTAATTATGGTTGAGATGGTTACTTGTTTTGAGCCCCATGCCAAATTCCCATGGGTAGATAGGGGTAAATAAGAAGTGATATGGGGCCAGGGGGCTGAGTGGAGCAAGTACCGTACTTCGTAGAAATGCCTAAGTTTTGGGAAAATTTTTCTTAGAAATTTGTTGATATGTGTATGAAATTTGAGTCTATTATCAAGGTGGATTCCTAAGAATTTTCCCTCTGTTAGCTTTGGATGGGTGATCCTTTTATCTTTATTTTAAAGAGGGACATCTGAGCTTTTGTTACCAAACTGAATGAAGTAGGTTTGTCAATTTTTAGTGTAATTTTGTAGCCCTCATCCAGGTAATATTTTCTGTAATTCGGTATTTACATATTGGCTACGGACGGGGCCCAGGGGGGGAAAAGACTATTAGTTACTGCAAATAGTGTGGGTTTGAAAGCAAGATTTGGTAGGTCATTTATGTATGGGAGAAAGAAAGAGGCCAAGGGGACATTTCCCCTGGGGGACACCAACTGTAATTGGTTGTGCAAAGAGTTTGCCCCATTTGCATCACATTTTGGGCTTTTGTTGTGATATGACTTGGGGATTAGGGGTGCCCTCTTATACCATAGTGTGAAAATTTTTACGGGGAGCAAGTCAGGGTTAACGATCAAAAGCTTACGAAGTCAATAAGATCCCCCAGTGGGACTTCTTTTTTCCAAATGCAGTGATATTGTTTAGCTGTTTTAAAATAGCATCATTAGTTTTTTTTTTTGGGCCTGAACCAAAATTGGGAGGGGTTTTAGAGTTTTGGGAGATAAGGTAGGAGTAGATTCGTTATAAATTAATTTTTCGAGTTTTTTGAGGAGGGTGAAAGTTGGATAGGCCAATTATTCAACTCTGTTTGGTCTCCCCCTTTGGGGATCGGGGTGACCCTTGCATTTTGAGTACTGAGGAAGGGGTGAGGTTTCAATGGATTTTTTAAAAGAGTGTTCAAGAGGGGATACACTTGGACACTTTTTTGTAATAAAGGGGGGTAAGGAAATTTAAATCTCCTCCCTTTTTTTTTTGCGTGTTGATAAAAGGGAGACTTCTAGGGTTTAGTCGGAGCTGGGAAACAGTTTTCGGGTATTGCCAGTGGTGTCTTTTGGTGGGGTTCTGAGTTTGGGGTTTTTTATTGGAAAGGGGTTTTTGTCCTATATGGAGAAAATCATTGAGTCTTTTTTGCTGTTTCTTTTGGGGGGTTTGGGGTTAAAATTTTTTGCTAATTTTTTTCGCTATTTCTGATATCTTTTTTGTTCCTAGAATTTTGATAGGGTTTTCCAGGTCTTTTTTTTATCACCCGAATTTTTGGATAATTGTTCTCAAATACAATTTTTTTGCCCTTCTTATCAGGCTGGTTAGGATTGCGAGTAAACGTTTTTTTTGGTCTCGGGTTTTATGTGCCCCATTTTACGGGGTTTTCTTTGGGTTTTGTATTTATGGATTTTGAGAATGCTGGGTGTTAACCAGGGACTTTTCATCTCTACTGCCCCATCGTTTATTTTTTTTTAGGCATGTTTGTTATGAGGATGGGTTTTTTTAAAAAATTATTAATCATTCGTAAATATCGTATAGATTTCTAGCTCATGTCCCAGTAATTTTTTGCTACTGCTTGTGAATTTTTAATGGCTGCCTCTTTGTGAATCTAAGGTGCTTATGTGTTTTGGGGGAAATTTCCCAAGATTTTTATGAGAAAAGTAGGGGAGTGGGCTGTGGTATTATCTGTAATTATGCCCGATTTTTTAAAGGGATATGGTGGGTCCAATTGGTCAAGTAGGGGGAAAAACTAGCTCTGTAACTTGTAGGTTTGTTACTGTTGGGGCAACATGCAGTTACTCATTGTGTTTGGAATTCAGTAAACGTGTGGGCCCTGGCTTGCAGGAATTTTATTGAAGTCACCCGAGTAGTAAGTATCTTTTTCATGCGGCATCATTTTCATACTTCCTAGGTTTTTTGCTAAATTTGGGTAAAGTTTGACTGTGGAACTCTGTAAATGTTTATCAAGTGAGAGTTTTTTTTAGGGATTTGGGTTTGAATTTGGTATTTAAATTTCCCAGTAAACCCTTGTGCAAAATTAGTGATACTTCTATTGGTTGAGTAGTTAAGGGCTTTCCCCCCCCTTGTTTTTTTTGGCTGGCCTACATTGTTAGGCTTGTAACCAGGGGAAAGGCATAGACTCGTACTACAGGCTTTAGCCAGGGTTTCGTAGTTAAAAAAGGACATATTGGCAGTAAGGAAATTTTTTAAGCATGAGGTCATCGTAAATGCTTGTTAAAGTATTGTAGTTAAAGATAGTTTTTGTGTTGGCACTGAGAATGCCTTTGATTGTTCGCAGGTAGTAATTACAGTAACTGTTTTTATTCATTTTAAATCATTAAATAAGAGGTTGGGATCAGGACAAAGTTTTTTAAACAAAGATTTGATGAACTATAGTTGAATTTAAATAAAAACAAAGTAATTAGTCTTTAAACTAAAAAATAGCACCCGAATTATTTAACAAATGTAAAAAATAGCAAGGTGTTTTTTTTTTTTTTTTTTTTTTTTAAGCTAAAAAAAAGGAGACAAATTAAAAAAGGGCTAAACAAATAAAGGATAATCAAATAATGGGCTTGGGGGAAAAAAAATAGTGGTAGACTTAAAGGGAATTCTTTTTAATTAGAATTATAGTAAAAAAATATATAAAAGGGACTAAGAAGTTGTGGTGAACAATAAAGGGTTAAACAAATAAAAAACGGGGAAAAATGGAAAATTGTAAATTATTCTACTTTAGCACCTGAGAAAAGCACCTTGATTTTTTAAAAATTGTGAATTATAAAATAGGGGGTTTATATAAAACTAAAAAAAAGGAGAAAAAAATATAAAGGGGGTAAATTAAGAATGGTAAACAAAATTAAATGGACAGGTGGTCACTATGAAATAATATTGGTTTGGAAAAGATCGATTTTAATTAAAAAAAAATTTAGCGTTTTTGCACAATAAAAGTAAAAAAAAAAGAGGGAGTTGGGATAGCTAGCAAAAGATAGTTTTTTGGGACTTGCAAAAAAGAATTGGGGAAAATACACTAATTGCAACACAATGAAAAGTGTAAAAAAAAATTTGGATAAAAAAAATTAATGGACAGGGAAGAATAATGAATATTATTAATTTGGGGTAAAATTTGCTTGAATTTAAAAATTTGAAATTAATAGCAGTAAAAAGAAGATAGAGTATTGGAAATATTTATTAGCTAGTGATAAAAAAATAAAAATAATAAGTACAATAAAAAGTAACTACACTATATCACCCCACTATAAAATATTAAGGGGGTTATCTAATTGTTCAGAAATGTCAGCTTTTCTAAGGAAGGTAAGAAATGTGTTCGTTTGAGATGGGAAATTGTTGTCCGTTGATGTTTTCCCCTTTTTTATTTTCCCATCTCCGGAAACACTGATGTATTTTGTTTTCCGTTTTAAATTTTCTCAGCCTGAACAGAAGGTTTTGACTTTTTTTTTAGAACTCTTTTGTACACTCCATTTTTCATTGTAATTGCTGATTTTTTAGGTCCTTTCTTTTATCGTTGAAGAAGTCGGATCATTATACTGTGTTTACTTCCTGGTTTTCCCCCCAAACGTGTTTCTTTTTTTTTTTGAAAGCTTTTACATGGTTCTGTATTTTCCTGATAGCAGTTCTTTCACTGTGCTTGTTTATGTCACTAGGAATTGTGGGGCGTTTTTTATTCTGATCAGACAACTTATCTTTTTCAGTTTTTTCGTCTTGAAATCAAGGTATTCATTTAGTCGAGTGTGCATTTCGATTCCAGTCCTTGATTGCTTCTTTAACCTTCAATTTTTTTGTTGTTATTTTTCAGTGTGACTGGCATAGCTCTTTTAGAGTTTTTTTGGTCAACACTTTCCCCATGTTTAAACTTTTCTTTAAGGTTTTTTGGATCTTATTCTCGAGGGTTTGGTTTTTCTTGGATTCTCGTCGCTCGAGTGTTCTTTTATTCTTTGGGTTTCATTTTCTGACAAAAGATGTAGTCCTTGATATTGTAGGAAAAATCAAAATGAGTTATCATGGGTGAATCCTTTGAAGGGATGGGGTTGGAGGGGGGGTCAGCCATGTTTGTTGTTGTTGTTTTTTTGTTTTCCCTTGGGGGCGGCGGTGAGGGGGGTTGATATACACTGCTCCTGCGGGGAGACAAATTGAGTTTTTAGGTCCTTTCTGTTATTCTTTTATTTTGGTGTTGTTTCTTTTGCGATATCCTTTTATATATCCTGAAAATAGAACGTGTAGCAATGGGGGAGGCTTTTTTTTGGGGCTTGGGTTTTGGATTGTTGGCAGCGGGGGCAGGGGGTTAGCAGGGGTGTCTTCTTAGATCTTTTTAATTTTGTCAAGATTTGGGGTTTCATTCTTTTATTTTTTGGGTATGTTTTTGGTTACGTGGGTTCATGTAGTTTTAATTTTACTTTAGGCCCCACAATTTTGTTGAGCGATGTTTTTTTGAAAAAAAGAAGAGCGGGAGGATACCGTTGCTGCCGCTGCCCCCGACATTTAAAAAAACATAGTAGGGAATTCATCCCCTTGCCCCAACAAAAGATGTTGCAGGGCCCGTCCTCCTCGCAGACAGCCATTGCAAACACAGCAAGTTGCCCCGGGATCGCTGCTTGCCGAGCACCATCGACCCTCCCCAAGAGGTCCAAGAAACCCGTGACTCCTTAACAGCCCGATGGGAGCTGCCCCCAGGGGCATGCACGTCCTGGTGGGCGCCAAATTGATTTAAATCCCAGGCCCTCGGTTTTGGGACGGATTTGAAGCTTTTAGGAAATGATACCACTGCCTTTGGGACACCGACAGCTGCCCCGCGGGCGAACTCCCCGACTGTCCACCTAGTTCACTATCAAAACTTGGGGCCCCCGCCCGGGCCCATATACCTCGAATCTGTAAATACCTTTTAACTTGCAGATTGTACCCAGACCTACCTGGGGGTTCATTTCCTTGTAAAAGGAGTTCATTTCCCCTTGTAAAAAGTGGATTCCCCTGTAAATTGCTCAGCTATCAAAAATTTGGAGTCCAGTCCCTGGACCAGTTATGTACCTCTGTAATCTTTTGACTACCGCCACAGGTTGGGTATAGGTGCATAATAAACATATTGAACTAACTAACGATGCTGTCCCTGTAGTGGAAGTTCTGTGAGCCTGGCACTCCCTGCAGTGCCCATCACTGACATCGTGGGTTAGGGGAGAAGTACCCTCTACAGATGGGGTGGGTGCTGGGAGTTGGGTGGGTGATGAGGCGGGGAGACGCGCAGGGGTGAGGAGTTATGAGAGGGTCACTGTTTACTACACATGCCCTCCCCCTCCCCCCCAGCGGAAAGGGGGGGAGGCACTGACTGGTCCTGACTCAACAACACCAAACCCTCTAAAACTGCACAACACTTCAACTATTTACGCTGAACGATGCACTGGGATGTCTGTTCGATAAATTACTAAATTTAAAAGAGAAACTTTTGTTTTTCTTTTTGGGCCACCCTGCCTTGGTGGGGTACGGCTGGTGTGTTGAAAGAAAGAAAGAAAGACATATTAAATATGCTATGGTTTCTATTTTCCTATTTCTTTTCTTGTTTTCCTAATTTTCTCATTAGTATCTGCATGCAGACACAATACAGTATTTAACTTTACTACACACATTAGGAGCAAGACCTCAAAAAGCCATGGATGGATTAATGTATAACCTCTCCCTAGTGACAGGTCTCAATTTAAATTTATCTTCAGACTTTACAGCCTTCTGTGAATCATAAACAATAAGGCCATCATTTAAAATTAATCATCAAATGATTGTTAATATAGTGGAACCTCGGTATACGACCAGCTCTGTACTCAAACAAAGCTCAGCACGTGACCAAACAAATACGACCTGACCAGAACTTCGCTGTAAACTATTTCATGTTTTCTTCGCATTTTTTGGTGTTTTTGTATTACTCGTATAAATAAGTCACCATGGGCCTACGAAGATTAGTGATAACAGCCAACCAAACAGAAAATTGGTTGGGAAGAGCTTGTTCGATACTCAAACGGAGCGGCACTCAAACAGCCTTCTGGAATTAATTAAGGTCACATACCGATGTTCCACTGTATTCATGCCCTAATTCAGTTCCATTTACTACATTTAAAGACAATGAATTTTTAACATGTTAAATTTTGATCTTTTGCAGTATCATAATGTTGAGGGAAACAACGAATGGTCAGTGATTAGAGATCAGTCAAGAGTGAATCAAACTCGGGGAGAACAACAGTTGAAAAGTGAACAAGAGGAGAGAGAATGGCAACACAAAGCAAAACAAGACAAGAACGATTAAAGCTTCAAGAAATGAAAGGAAGCTCCAAGAAAAATGGAAACAGATGAAAGACAGAAAGTTAGACAGAACTGCAGGATTTTGAAAATGCTAAATAGATGAGAAAGTAATTCATGACTTAGTAACATTAAATATCTGGCTTCTGTTGAGTGATACATATTTTAGATACTTCGGTTCTAAAAGATTGTACAAGAGCCCTTTACTAGCTTCGTCACTCTTTGTCCCCCCACACCCTTGAATACAGGACAGGAAAAAAAAAGAACTGCCTTATCCAGTGAAAGCTGACTATAGGGACTAGAAACCCTAATCTCCCCAAAATTTCATTTCAAGAAAATACTAAATGCACTGAGCCTGTGAAACTTCCACCCCATCCTACTGGGCTGAGAGTGAAGGAAAATCAAATAGGACTCGCAATAAATTTGTTATAACTTAATCTTTATTTTTATAAAAGCAAAAGTGCTAAGCCTGTATGAATTAAAGAGCTGCACTTTTAAATTTCTTGCAGATATTTTTTCAATACTTGTATTATGCTGTATCAAATGCCACTCAGTCTTCAAGCAAAGACACTGTGTGATCCCGATAATTTAAATTGAAACAAATGTCAATTTTTGTGCTTGTTCCTCCATATGTCATCATCTGCAAAAGAAAAGAAAATACAATACTGTACTTCTATGGCATTTTATTATAAAATTAAAATGTTATAAGAATTTATTCCAGGGTCTGACAGGAAAGTGATAACATATTTCCAACAAATATTATTCATCCAACTAAACCCATTGTGATAAACATTTTTCTAGAAAACAGATAATCACAATGCTTGAATGAGATAAATTTCATCTGAACATTTGGCAAAATATGTTTGTCAAGGAGGAAAATTTGATGCATGAGAGTATCATAAAAGTTGAAATTTTCTCAGTTAGCTAAAGCTATCATTTTTAACACACAGTTTTAAATATAATGCTGTTACATAATAAAAATGCATAATTAAAAAGGATTAACACCATTAACACTTCATATAGCATATCTGCATCAACTGTCCTGTTGTAATGTGTGCATCAATGTCTCTATTATAGAAAGAACATTTAACCCTTTCAGGGTTTTGGCTGTACTAGTATGGCTTACGCACCAGGTTTTTTGACGTACTAGTACGCCTAAATTCTAGCGCCCTCAAATCTAGTGAGAGAAAGCTGGTAGGCCTACATATGAAAGAATGGATCTATGTGGTCAGTGTGCACAGTATAAAAAAAATCCTGCAGCACACAGTGTGTAATGAGACAAAAAAAACTTTGACCGTGTTTTTGGATTAAAACAGCGACTTTGCACTGTATTTTCGTATGGTATTTATTGTTGTATTCTAGTTTTCCTGGTTTCATTCTATCGAGATGATTTTGACTGATTTTACAATGAAAAGTACCTTGAAATTGAGCTCAAAGTAGCAGAAATGTTCGATTTTTACCAAAGTTCAAAAGTAAACAAATCATGCTAAGCTTCCAATACACGTTAACTGGTGAGTCTAATATTCTTTCACAAGTGCGCCGATATTATTTATATCATTTTTTACACTAATGCAGTAGTCTGCATAACAGTAAATCTATTTTTTGTGAGAATAAAAATTCAAAGTGGAAAGCAAAAGAATGTAAGAGGGGCATTGGGACGTTACTAATGAACAGAGGAAATGTCATTTTAGTGCCAGGAATGTCTTTCTTGTTTATTCTGGACCCTATTTGGAAATTGGCATCTTTTGAAATTTGTGTGAAATTGGCAAAATTGCTAAATTCTGACCACTGTATTAGATAGTTGAAATTGGTAAATGGGTGGTTTCTTGTACTCATTCGATAGAAAAAATGGAGTTCTAGCGAAATAGTTATGACTTTTGTCGACTAGTACACTGGAATTGGCCGAAAATAGGGCTCAAAGTGGGCAAAATCACCGATGCATAAACATCGTCGAGACCGCTAACTTCGCGAGAGCATAATTCCGTAAGTTTTCCATCAAATTTCATACTTTTGGTGTCATTATGATCGGGAAAAGATTCTCTAGCTTTTCATAAGAAAAAATAATTTTTTTTTTTTTTTTAAATTTGGAAGACCCTGAGAACAAGTTTCTGAGAGGGCCTGTCGACTCTGAAAGGGTTAAATGGCTGCAGATATCAATATAAATTTATACAATGTTCAAAAGTTTAACACCAACTGAAATTATTTATAAATTCACAACTAAGATGCAAACACTTTAAAAAAAAGAAAAGCTAATATATGCTACTCTGCTTAGTAATTAGGATATCTATTAAAAAAAATACAGTGGAACCTCGGTTTTCGTATTTAATTCGTTCCAGAGAGTTTGACGAAAACCGAATTCGCCGAAAATAATGTAAAGCCAATTAATCCATTCCAGACACCCAAAAATATTAACAAAAAAATACATTTTATAGAGAATAACTATAGTTTTACATACAGAAAACAATGAGAAATAAATATAAAGTACTAATGAAATGGATAAATGAACATTTAAATCAGTGTTATCTTTATTGAAGACTCTTGTTGGCATATGGAAGATGGTGAGAAGCGGAGAGGGAGGAAAGATTATCTCTACCACCATCACTACCACCCCTCTAACCACCATCCCCATACACCCCTCTACCACCAACACTAACACCCTCTACCACCATCACTACCACCCTCTACCACCATCACTACCACTGTCTACCACAATCACTACCCCTCTACCACCATCACAACCACTACCACCTTCTACCACCATCACTACCACTGTCTACCATAGTCACTACCACCCTCTACCACCATCACAACCACTACCACCTTCTACTATCACTACCCCCCTCTAAACCCCCTACCCCACTACCACCCTCTACCACAATCACTACCACCATCACAACCACTACTACCCTCTACCACCACTGAATTCTATTGTGTTTCTCACATTCTTTATCAAAGGACTGGCACTCGGAACTTTCTTTGGCCCCATGGTGACTTACTGAGCAATCACACTCAATAAACAAGCACAAAAAACAATGGATTATTATGAAATGTTTTGTATGAATACGCAGGGTAATGTTCACTTGATGAGAAACAAAGCCAGACTGACTCAGAAGGCGTGTGTGGGATGCTTTGTGTGGGCGCGGGCAGACGGACACATTCGGTACAGCGGACAAAAACCAAGGTGATGAACGAAAACTGGGACAATATTTTGATGAAAAAAGTCGTCGAAAACCGAATTTGATGAAAACCAGGGCAAACGAAAACCGAGGTTCCGCTGTACAAATTCTACTCTATGCGAGTTATTTTTAATTTTGCTTCAAGAAAGTTACTTTAAAACAACTGAAAATTTACAAACAAAAAAGTGGGCTTCCTCTATAATCTTGAAAATTGCTAAACATGCAACTAGGATTTTTTATTATTATTTTATTAACACATCAGCCACTTCCCACCAAGGCTGGGTGGCCTGAAAAAAGAAAAACTTTCACCAAGATGTTATTCCTGTTTGCCCTATACACATAAAATCACAGTTTCCCTATCTTCAATATTTAACAATTCCTTAAAATATTCCCTCCATCTTCCTGATACCTCTAACTCTCCATTTAATAACTCTCCTCTTCCATTTTTAACTATCAAATCCATTTGTTCCCTAGGTTTCCTCAACTTATTAATCTCACTCCAAAACTTTTTCTTATTTTCAACAAAATTTGCTGATAACATCTCACCCACTCTCTCACTTGCTCTCTTTTCACATTGCTTCACGACTCTCTTAACCTCTCATTTTCTCTCCATATACTTCTCCCTCCTTGCATCGCTTCTACTGTGTCATAACCTCTCATATGCTAACTTTTTCTCTCTCTACATCATTCCACCAATCGCTCTTCTTCCCTCCCGCACCCACTTTCCTGTAACATAAACTTCTGCTGAACACAAACACTACATTCTTAAACCTACCCCAATGCCTATACTCTCACTAGCCATCTATCCTCCAATAGTTATTTATATCTTACCCTAACTGCCTCCTCCTCTAGCTTATAAACCTTCACCTTTCTCTTACTTGCTGCTTCCAATTTCCTTACATCCCATCTACCTTTTACTCTCACTGTAGCTACAACTAAAAAGTGATCTGATATATTTGTGGCCCCTCTATAAATATGTACAGTTGAAGGGCAAACCCAACAGCTTTTATCTACCAATACAAGCCCCAACAAACTACTGTCATTATGCCCTACATAAATCTTGATACTTAACTTATCCCTTTTCTTAAAATATGTATTACCTTAACCAAAACCCCTTTCTATACAAAGTTCAATAAAAGGGCCCCCATTATCTTTTACATCGGCACCCCAAATTTTACCTACCACACCCTCTTTAACCCTTTCAGGGTCCAGAGGTCAAATTTCAAAGTGTGCCCCAGGTTTCAAGAATTTTCCCCCCAAAAATTTATTTTTTCTTATGAAATGGTAAGAGAATTTTTTCTGGAGGAAAATTAAAACAAAAAGTACGAATTTTGATGGAAAACTGACAAAATTATGCTCTTGCGAATTTTGATGTGTCAGTGATATTTTTAATCGCGATTTTTCCCCACTTTGACTCCCATTTAGGCCAATTACATTATTAGAGTCGACCAAATTCTTAGCTATTTCATTAGTATTACTTCTATTCTATCGATTGAGCACAAAAATCGCCCAGTCAACTGTTTCAACTACAAATAAAAGTTTTTGGAAAATTTGGGTAATTTGGCCAATTTCACACATAGATCAAACTATTCCAATTTCCAAAACTAGGAGTCAGAATAATCAATGCAGGTATTCCTGGCTCTTAAACTAACATTTCCTCAAGCTTCATGTAGTTACGTTTTCAGGTTACAAATGAATTCATTTTGATTTTTTATTTCACATACATGAATTTTATTCTAACCAAAATAGAAAGATTTACTGTTATTGAATATTGTTTCTAATTGTATAAATTTCATCACCAACATTTGTGAGTGAAAATTAGCTCCCACAGTGGGTGTATTAGATGTAGTGAGGGTCGTTTGTTTACTATGAACATCGACAAAAAATTTAACATTTCCCGAATACTTATGAGTCGGTTTTAAGCCTTTTCCATATCTTAAAACCAATCAACAATCATCTTTTTCTGTATATATATCTCCATCTATCAAAATAGAGACATAGAAATCGCAAATACAACTAGAAAAAAACTACAAAATACACTGTAATTGCTGTTTTAAATCAGACAAATCACGGTTCAGTTTTTTTTCTCCTCATTATACACTGTAGTGCTGCAGGTTTTGTTTTATGTGGTGCTCACAAATACCACAATAGATGTATTCTTATTATCTAGGCCCAAATTTACCACTCTTAGTCATTATCAGAGTGAGCTGAGTATGGCATAGGATCTTCGGTTTTGGATCCTGACACTTTAAGCCTAAGATACTACGGCACGGACCCCTGAATGGGGTTTGTTCAAATGTTTCTCCCTACTTTAGCATTATGGTCCCCTACACAAATCTCTCTTTCAACTTGGTTCAATTAAAGTTCCTACCCTTTCCTTATCTCCCAAAATCTTTCTCTCTCCTCTTACACTCCTCTCTTCTCCAGGTGCATACACACTTATTTTAACCCACTTTTTGCATTCCTGACCCTTTATTTTAATCCAATAATCACTTGAA